ATGAACGGGGCCTGTAAGCCCTAAGTTTTAGGCTTTTAGGCTGAATGTCCGGGACGGGCCCTGTAGGCCCGTGTGGCTACGCAGTATGCCACAGGTGCACTGCACGGTGCGCTGGTCGCAGATGCACAGAAAAAAAAAAAAAAAACCGAAATGAAACGAAATGAAACGAAAAAGCAACCCTGATGTGTGTATACACGCAAAATTAGCAAGGGTCTCGTTGGAGGGAGAACCTGGACGTGTAGTAAAGAGGGAGCAGGCCAGCTATATATGGTGTAGCTTCGATTTCAGGTCCGTGTTTCAGCAGTTATGGGTTACCGACTTACTAACTCGGCATGTGATTTTCAGGGCTTCACTACACTCATGAAATGTGCAAAACTAAAACGAATCTCTCCTAGAAACTGGAACCATACAAGCCATATTTTTTTCTTTTGTGATGAGAGGAGCGAGGCCCTTAGAGCCTTAGGGCCAAGGAAAAGCAAAAAAACGAGACAGCTACTGTAGGGTTTGTAGTAAGTTCGTAACCCATAACTCTTGGAACACAGACCTGAATCCCAATCCAGCAAACGAACGTCCTTCCAAATGCATGGGATCCCTGCTAATTCTTGGCAGGAGACCTTCAGGAAAAGAGACTAGATCCAATGAGTACGATGTGGCCCCAAATTTTTTTTTTCTGAACACTTACAATTTTTGAAAGGAAGGAACACATTTGGTTACCACAGCCTTCCCTTTTTTTTTTTTAATAATAAATGCGCCACATCACGTAAGTGCGCACGTGTGCGTGTGTGCTATACGGCGCAACTTGCACGCACGTGATGCGCTGCATGTATGGTGTGTACACATCCCACACTTCGGTATACAAATCTGGAGGTTAAATCCCGACAGCCGACCCAGGATGCATTTGTGTGTATGTTGTCATGTTCGCTGTACACAACTCAACGAAAAAAGCAAGACTGTGCCAGACTGTTTCATCGGACTTTCACTGACTCATCAGGAGGTTGGACCCCGGCATTCTGCCCAGGATGCATTTGACTTCTGGATAAATACTCGCCACGTCACCCAGAGTCGGAAATACCCTTGAGAAAAGTGATCAACTTCACTCACATCAACTGCATGTGCGTGTATTGTCAAAGAACCCTAAGCTCTCTCCTCATTCCATCCGCAAACCATTGATTAAACAGAGGAAGTATAAACACAGTATAATAGAAGATGCAAGGTTGGCCACGTTTGTGAGGTTAAGCGCCAAGTGTCACACACACACACACACACACACACACACACACACACACAGAGAGAGAGA